CCTATTGGTTGACATTGTCTGGGTTTCTGGTCATATAAAAAGGCCTGTGTGCCTTTTGCTTTTGCTTGGTTGTTGTAGAAGGTGAATAAAGTGTTTGTTCAGCATCGCCATGTGTCTTCATCATTCTCACGCGAACGAAGTAATCAAGAGACTTAGTACTTTATTTGTGACTTGTAGATACCAAATACTGAAGGTTGGATGCTGCTTTATATGATTGCCACCCACACATCTTAGATGGCCTTACAGGTAGCTTGAGCTTAGTTTCAAAATAATCATTTTAGAACATTCCTTTGCAGCAGTAAATAAGCACAGAGAACCCTGTTTCAAATCAGTCTGTGTATATAAGAGAAGTAATGGGTCATCATCTTAGAAAAAAATAGAAATGTGCTTAGTTCTCACTTTTGGAGGATGAAAAGCTGGATTAATAAATTTGGCTACAAAATGATCGATAAATGGATTAAATAATAAAGGTGCCAGAATGCAACCTTGTCTGAGACCTATTCTGATAGGAAAAGATCATTGGCAGTTCCCTCCCTTCCATCCAGGACATAGTATATAAGCGTTGCTTGAACTGGATCCACAAGACTGGCTGGGACACTACACATCCTCTTCATGACCTGTTTTCTTTGTTACCTTCTGGGAGGAGGCTTTGTGGTATCCGAAGCAGAACATCGAGGTTCAGTCACAGTTTTGTTCCATACAGTATTAACCTTGTGAACTCTAAAGCTTCTTCCTTCGTTATGTATTCAAGATGGACAGTGATTGCTATTTATATGTTACTTATATGTAAGGATGTGGGTCTATACACATACCATTTGTCTGAAAATGTATAGGGTTTCCTGCCTAACTAGGGGGTTGGACTATTATATGTTGTATATAGTATGTTTAAATGTGTGTTATGTATGTGTACACTTTGAGAGCAGGCAACTAAATTTCATTTTTAATGTGTGCCAGTGTGCCCACAGTACAAAAAATTACAATAAAGGGTATCTATCATCCATCCATCCATCCATCCATCCATCCGGCCGGCCGGCCGGCCGGCCACCCACCCACCCACCCACCCACCCACCCACCTACCTACCTACCTACCTATCTATCTATCTATCTATCTATCTATCTATCTATCTATCTATCTATCTATTTCCTATGCATAGTTTTAATGCCTATTCCATCACACTTTCAGGCAGGAGTTTTCAGATAGTTGTAGATTAGAAAAAGAGTTATCTATCTATAAAGGAATTCTTCAGTTTCTGCTATGATTTAGGTTTGGATACTAGTTGACAAATATAACAGAGAGTATACAGTATGTCTTTATACTCAGGGAGTATAAACCCCTGAACATGTTCTAAAGGTATATTTTCCTGTAAAAGTTACGGCACATGGTCCAAATGGGAATAATTTGCTTCAAAGCTACCCAGTTCCTCAGCTAAGATATTCTCAATTATAATCTAATTCAGGAGTTTATTGTACAAATGTCTGGCATAACATTTTGTTGAAAGAAAAATCATCAGATCCAGTCCAAGCCAGGAATAAACAAAATGGAGACTGCTTAGGAAAGAAGGTTCAGTTTATTGAGTTACCAGAAACCTCAGTGACACAGCATTTTTCTGGGGTAGCTGAAAAAATGGAGGGGGATAGTTTATTATATTTTCTTTTGGCTTTGTATTTGAGGTTATTCCTGTTCCTGTGCCATGAACTTTGACCTGAGCTTGAATGGTGTTCTAATGGTGGTGGGTTAATCCTCCTAAAGGTCATGTTCCTTGGAGTCTAATTCCATCTAATCCCCTAAACTCAAACCTTCTATGGGGCTGTAGCTAAAGGCCTTTTGGTTATGAATAGGTGGCCCTATTCAGTCTTTCTGAATAGGATTATCAAATCTGCATTTCTACAGAGCTGCCCTGCTCAATTTCTGCCTGGGAGAGACTGGGCTGTTTCTGCCTCCCCCTAAGATTTTTCTATTATTCCTTTGGGGAAATATAATATTCTGCCTTTTTTAATATTCTCCAAAATACTTCCTTCTCTAAGAGGGTGACTAGGTGGCTGCTGACTTCCAGCAATTTGCTGTTCAAATTAAGGAAGTAATTAAGCTGCATCAGCAGAAGGATAGTATCAAGATCATGGGAAGTGTTAGTATCACTTTATATATACTGCACAGGTAAGACCACACTTGCAATATTGCATTCAGGGTTGATAATTTGTAAATTATATAACAATCAAGATGCAAAATATCATAGAATTCTTAAAATATTCTTCTTGGGTCAAAGGGAAAAAATACTCTTATGCAAAGGAAGAGATTAGAAACAGATAGACAGAGAGAGACAAAAAGAGAAATGGCTGTGAATAGAGAGATGAAGAAAGAGATGTACGAAGTGGATAGAGTAGAACTGATGCTCTTAATCTTTATTTATTTATTTATTTATTTATTTATTTATTTATGGTAGCTAACTGCAAGGTCGTGAGTTTTTCTTGTGTCCTTGGTTTCCTAGATATTTTTCTAATACTTATTATCATTTTCCTTTAAGCCACCTAGGAATTATTCTTGTGCTAAAGCGAAGCTTAACTGGCCAATCTCTGTAAACTACTGAGATCTTTGGGAATTGAAATGGATTACTTGGATTATATTAGAACCTGAAATACTCTTTATCAATGAGAAGTTTTCTCCAGCTTAGAGGAATAATGAAAAAATGAACCTTCATTACATTCCAGGACAATTTCTTCAGCTATGGAGGCTTTACTTTCTGGAGGCTTCTACTGCCCATATACTGTAGATGTTATCAAGTAATTGAGCCAAATTTGGTCACCATATCACAAAAAAGATGTTGAGAGTTTGGAAAAAATTCAGAGAAGAGCAACTAAGATGATCAAAGACCTGGAGACTAAAACATACAAAGAACGGCTGCAGAAATTGGGTTTGGCTAGTCTAAAGAAAAGAAGAAATAGGGGAGACATGATAGCAGTATTCCAGTATTTGAAGGGCTGCCACAAAGAAGAGGGGGTCACATTATTCACCAAAGCACCAGAGGGCAGGACAAGAAACAATGGTTGGAAACTGATCAAAGAGAGAAGCAACCTGGAATTAAGGAGAAACTTCCTAACAATGAGGACAGTTAACCAGTGGAACAGCTTGCCTGCAGAAATCATGGGTGTGCCATCACTGGAGATTTTCAAGACAGTCACTTATCTGAGATGGTATAGGTTCTCCTGCATGAGCAGGGGGCTGAACTAGAAGACCTCTAAGGTCCCTTCCAGCTCTATTCTATTCTATTCTATTCTATTCTATTCTATTCTATTCTATTCTATTCTATTCTATTTTATTCTATTCTATTCTATTCTATTCTATTCTATTCTAACTTTGAAATGCCAAAAAGGAAATACTATAGATATTGGATTAACTTCTGCTAAAACTATAAAGATTTAACAAGGAGATATCAGGAAATTATTTTAAGCTGTACTATACAATTATTTCAGTCTTTGTATTTCAAGTTTTCTGGTAATTTCAGGTAGTCGTCAAGTTACAACAGTTTGCTTAGTGACAATTCAAAGTTACAAAAGCACTGAAAAAAGTGACTTGTGACCGTTTTTCACATTTATGTCCATTAAAGTATCCTCATACTCAGGTGATCAAAATTCAGATGCTTGGCAACTGACTTACCTTTACAATGATTGCATGTTCCCGGGATCATACGATCATCTTTTGCTACCTTCCAACAAGCAAAGTGAAAGTGAGGCCAAGTCATTTAACAACTGTGTTATTAACTTAATAATTGCAGTGATTCACTAAACAACTGTAGCAACAAAAGTCGTAAAATTGGGAAAAACTCACTTAATAACTATCTCGCTTAGCAACAGAAATTTTGGGCTCAGTCATGGTCATAATTTGAGGAATACCTTTATTTCTCCACCTTTGCTGTTTTCAGCCTGACAATTTGAAGAATTAGATTCATTCAAATCAATAATTCTGACAGCAAGAAGGGGAGGGAAAGAACACATAGTTTGAAATCTGGGCAGAAATACCTGGTTGAACATGGCAGGCCAGATGATGTCTTGTGCAGAAATTGTGAATAGCTTATCTGGCGAAGCAGTTGGATTGATTTTTCCAACTTTGACTTTAATAAAGGTCCCATTTGGGAATGTGACCCAGTTGATAATGTCAAATCCAATCTCCAAATCCCCATTTTCATTAAAGAAAATTTTCTCTCCTGCTGTGTTATTAAATGAGATAGTTTTCAAATAGTGATGGAGCTAAACAGAAGCAGAGGTAGACAATTAATGAGAAAGAAGTAAGGAACAGAAATAAAAAAGAATCAGAAGCAATAAGTTACAGGTGGTTCATTTAATATGATTGGGCACTTTAATAGAATAATTATTCCTTCAACCTTCATCAATATTCCTTCCCTGCCACAGATGAATTGAAACTCTGCCAAACTCAGAGATGCTACTGCATCTTTCTTTCTTTCTTTCTTTCTTTCTTTCTTTCTTTCTTTCTTTCTTTCTTTCTTTCTTTCTTTCTTTCTTTCTCTCTCTCTCTCTCTCTCTCTCTCTCTCTCTCTCTCTTTCTTTCTTTCTTTCTTTCTTTTTTTCATATTGTTATATCTTCACAATTGCAAAGGTTTCACTAAGTTTCAAAAAATGAGAAAAATGGATGGTAAGAGACTTAAAAACCATCACTACAACATTCTCATTGGCCAGAACTTTTATAGCACAGCTGAATGCATTAGAGAGAAGAGCAATAGGAAATGTTCATTTATTTTTTTATTACCTGCCATGCTTTTGGAATTAACAGTGTTTCTCTCTCAACTCCTATCCTTGCTCTGTGTTTGGACTTGGGGGAAAGCATGGCTTGTAAAGCGTGTGCCACACCATAGACTGCATTATAGATGCAGTAACTCTGCCCAGTCATGGTGGTATCAAACACAGATTTAGGTAGATTCTCCAACTTCTCTTCTCCAGTGCACAGAATTCCAGTATTTCCACTTAACTTATCTGTAGGAAAAGAACACTCAAAAACCTGTTCCCAGAACACTCTCATTAAATGGTCTTCCACTTCTGAAGTTGGTTTTCTCATCTGAAGGAATTTACTGAATCTGGAGATTTTCTTGGAAGAAGCTATGAAAGATATAACTCCATTGAAGGCATGCATACCCATAGTTCTTTGAAGTGCAAGCGAAGTAAACTCCATCTGGGCTGGCATTATCCAAACTTTATCTTTTCTCTCAATGGGTGTCTCTATAAATTGTTCAATATAGGGCAACATTCTAAAAAAGATAGTGTTCTGATTTTCACAGTGTAGAATAATAGCATTGGCAGTGCTCTTCATGATAACCATGTATGTTTTACGAAAATCTAAAAGGACACTTAAAATAAGATTAGAAAATGTTTCCTTGGCCATCTCTTCTATGAAGTCAAAGCAGACCCCTCTCTGGGAAAACAAAGAAACACTATTTTGTATGAATCTCTCTCCACTCTTATTAAGTTGGTAAATCAGCCCAATCCATGTCCATCTAAAATATAGCAGCAACTGGAGAATACCCTTAATCTGTTGATCACCATTTGGGAAAAAACGATGAAAGAAAACCATTTGTATGTTGTCATCTATTGTTGGAGAAGACCCATATGAAAGCTGAATATAGAAAAAAAGAAACATTGTTCTCCAAAATAAAACATTGATTATTTTTTAACAAATCTGCTCTTAATTTATGGTCTTCCATAATAAACAAGATATAATCATGTTCAGAAAGAGCTGATGTGCAGAATAGTCATTCAACAGTTGTTATTGTACCATAAGTACAAAGCCAGAGATGTCAGAAATGTGTTAATTCAGAAAATGAATTTAAAGAGCAAAGTAACTATTCCCCAATAATAATATATTGAATTTTTTAATCATAATTCCTTAATGTGATTATTAAAACGTGGTAAGAAAATGTATTGGGTGCACTCCCAAAACAACTAGAGCATCATCTGAACACACACTGCAAAGTGTATTTATAAGTCAGTCAAGGAACCATAAACTATTAATGGGTTTAGATTAAGTCTGAGAAATAAATCTAAACTATTAATGGGTTTAGATTAAGTCTGAGAAATAAATCAAGTACAGTATCTAAAATATCTCATCTGGCTAGCACATATTTTTTTCATTTCTGTTTGAATTGCCACCTTATTTCCAAATGATAAAATGTAATATAAAAAGTAATTTATCATTATCATTATCGTTATTGTTTTGCTTTGCAACTTTGTAAATGTAACAGGATGGGGAGAATTGTTTTCAAACTTGTGGGCTTCTATTATTGTAAACTTACAATAAAAGAAATTTTAGTATTCATGATTTTGGTTTTCTGATCTTGCAAGTCTAAAGCAATTCCTCCTCCTCTACCTTTACATTCCAAAAAAACAAGGGAGAGTCAATTCTGAGTGGCTTTCTCAAATTTCTGTTCTGGTTAGGACTCAGCTGCTTTTTATCAGATCGTCATATAGACTGTGGCTCTTCCTCCTGGCCCTCAAGGCTCTTCTCACAGCCTTTTGACACTTCGTTCAAGGGCAAATCTTACCTGTGGCATCTTATAGACATTCACAATGTTTGCGATGTAGGGATAGATGTGAGAGTTAGGTCCTGCAATAACAGATATTGCCTGGTCCTTGGCATCACACTTATAATTGGGGATGAATCTGCCCTGTGTTGAGAGAAGTTCCATTGAAGCCAGGTATGTCCATTTCGCCATGAAATAACTATTAGAGAGGTACACACCCAGAGTCACATTGGGTAAAATGTGGTTGTTTTCATTAATCTCTTTTACAGCTAAAACCAAGGCTAGAATGTGTTGATAGTTCTGTAGGAAAAAACTGCAATGAGAGACACATTCCAAATCATATTTTATTTCTCAAAGAATGTGACATTACCTATATATATTTAAAATATTTCAACTAAACACTACACAGAAAATTATTCAAGAAGTCATGTAAATACCTAAGCACTCAGAAATTGTTTCCACTCCTATAGATACCCTAAATCATATGGATAATGGATAAATTACATGACCACCAAATATACACTGTTCTAATATAATAGTACGAAATCTAACAAAATACTTGCTCAAATAGTCTGCAAAAATATTTCAGCATATTAAAAACATTATTTTTGATGAAGGGGAAAGTCCTTTTTGGAAAAACATAGAAGTACAATTTTTTAGTGGATGAAGGCTGACTTTTATGACTCATTCCTTATAAACAATTTCCACTAAGAAACAGATAAATTGCTTGAAGGAACTTTAATAATCACATTATCATCTACATGTAATTCTTAGACATATTTCTACTTGTATATTTAGCTGTTCCATCATCCCTTTAGGTGCTTTTTATTTTGTCTGTATATGAAGAATTTGTGCAAAGAAGCATGCTTGGGGGCAAATGTTATATAAAAGTCTTTTTTATTTGATCATGATAGACTTAGAATGCTCCCTTATTCTAAGTAAAGTGTAGCTCTTTCATCAGGGCAGACAGACCCTACATTTTTGCCTCATGCTTCCTGAAGTACCTGCTTAGATATCAGATTCAAAGTGCTATATAGCACTATTGTTCCCTAATAGTCACAGCAACCATTAAATCATGACATGATGGTATTTAATTGGCAAAACAAAAAGTGATTCCATAGTAAAGTACTGATTATTTGATTCAAAGTAATTAAATGAGAAAAGCTTAATATGAAATTTTAATTAATCACTGAACTGAGATCTGTCATAAGTATGTGTGTGTACATATTTATTAAGGCAGCAATTTATATTAGAATGAAGGAACTAACCAGCAAGAAACAGGAGAAATAATTTGTGCAAGTAATAATACTAATTAACACAGTCCAAGCATCCTATTAAGGATAGATATCTGGTCTGAGATATGCTATAGTTAAGAGAAAGTCTTTACATGAGCTCATCAACTAGTTCTTCAGAAGGATGTCTTGTGAAACGCACTGGATCAGACATCATGTAGAACTGAGATAGTATCCCAGCCATTATGAAATCCCCCGACAAACAATACTTGTGCTTCGTAAGGGGAGATTTCCCCACAGCACATGCATTAATCTTAGCAGTGAGGCATGTAAGCCCTGGCAGTAAAACTGCCATGACTGCAATGAAAAATATCATCTTCTTCAAGAAAACCTGTGTCACCACATATGAACAAGTTCTGTCTGCAACAATGAAACATGACAATAAGTAACAACTCTCACTAATTAGATTAGTCCTATATATTGTTTCTGAAAGAGCAGATTGTTACATTTCTAGCTCTCTGGTCGCACAATTAATAACACCTTTCAATCTTGACCTATTCTTTTGGGTTGTCCCTTGGATTTCTCCAAGGATTTGAAAAGAAGCTACAGAACTAAGATTCCCTGGGGATAGGGGAAATCAATGGATGTTCAGTGAATCTTGTTAGCGTCTTTGAACGTTATTTTATTTGTGATTTAATTAGGTCATGACATTTGTTTTTAACATTTATAGTGGAAATCGGTCTGTAAATTGCTCAGAGCCCTTGGGGATTGGACTCAGTGTCTAATGCCAAGTATAAAATTATTTATTATTTGACTTCGAACTTTCCATGCCCCTAAACATTAGGTCTAACCAAAGCATTATAGGAGAAAAGTTATGATCAATTTTGATATGTGGTATTGTTCAAATGAATCAGTATTTACACTACAATATCAATCCTTTCTTCAGATGGTGATGTCTTCTGAAATCCAGGAAATTAGATACCATGTGAAAGAATGCCAGCAATGCTATGATCTTCTGAGTGAAAATATTTGTGCTTATTAACATAAACTTTGTCCACATTACACGCAGTACAACCAATGTTCACACTTATGACTGTCTCAGCATCACCATGGTCATATGATCAAAATGTGGGTGTTTAGTACAGCCATATATTTATATGGGTTGCAGCAGACATAAATTAATTTCAGAACTAGGTGATGAGATGGAGATGGATAAGTCTTCGAAAGCAGACCAGCTTCGGAAAACATGCATTGAAGAAGAGATGACTGAGGTGTCTTTACAGGAATCTGATGTTTCATTTAAAGATGAAAAGTAAACTTATTACGTGGAATATCAATGGGGCTAATGTCCCATCTAAACATTAAAAAGTATTTCATTATTTGATAAAACTTAATGCTGATATAATCTGTCTTCAAGAAACACATATTAAAAAACAAGACAACAAATATCTAATAAATAAAAGACTGGGGGAGGAATTGATGTCCACTGGGAAAAATAAATGGAGTGGTTTTATATATGAAACCCCAATTTAAACCTAGGTTACTTTTATCAGATGAATACGATAGATTTGTAATTGTGGAAATTGAATTTAATGGAACAAAATAAATAGTGATTGGACTGTATATGCCAACTGAGGGGAAAAAGATTTTTTTTTGAATATTTTATGGACCAACTCTTGCCTTTTTCATATGAAAACTGGCTTATGCTGGGGGATTGGAATGGAGTGATTTCATCACTTTAGAACAGAACATCTACTAAAGCAGATGTCTCCAACCTTTTTGATTTGGCAGCCTGGAAAGGGAGGCAGGCACTGCTACGTGCATGCACACAAATGGGCCGTGCTTGAGTGCATGTGCACATACAAACGGCTGCATGCGAGCACATGTGCACATGCAAATAGGGTGTGCTAGCACTGGTGGGATGCTATGGGCAGTACTAATGCCAGTGGGACACTCTGGGATGGGGTGGCGCTGGTGCTGGTGGGATACTCGGGACTGTGCTAGCACTGGCGGGATGCTCAGGGTGGGGCGGCACTAGCACCAGTGGGATGATCGGGGTGGCACTAGTGCCGGTGGGACACTTGGAGGCAGGGCGATGCTAGAGCTGGCAGCATGCTCAGGGTGACACTAGCACAAATGTGTGGGGGGATGAGTGCACACATGTGTGTGCATGCACTGGCTATCCCTTCATATGGCCTGGTGGCCTAGCAGCCATGGCCCAGTAGTGGGCCGTTGCCCACAGGTTGGGGACCCCTGTACTAAAGGGATCAAACCATCCCAAGGTAAACTACCAAGTTCATTTTTTTAAATGATGGACAATTTAACATTAATAGATGCATGGATGCATAAAAATGGCTCTGCAAGAGAATATACCTTTTTTCCAGAAATCACAAAACCTTCTCAAGGATTGATATGATATGGACCTCTAAAAACTTAACAAATAGAATTCTGAAAGTTGATATCCTACCTAAATCCTTTTCTGATCATAACCAGCTGTTTTGGTCCTCAGAAAAAAGAGTTTGAGTTATAGATGGAAATTGAATGAATCTATTTTACAAAAGAAGACAACTGTAAAGGAACGTAAAAAGAAATTGCATGAATATTTTGATAATAATTTAGGTGAAGAGACAGATCTAATAACATTTGGGAGGCTATTAAGGCAGTTATGAGGGATTATCTTATACAATATAATTAGTTAGTGAAGAAAAAATCTTTGGAAAGGACCTGAATGACCCAATAACTACTTTTGAAATATTAAAAGCTATAAGAAAAAATGAAATTAGGTAAAGTTCCTGGTCCAGATGGTTTTACAAGCCAATATTATAAATGTTTTGAATTCTTCAGCCATTAAAGAATGTAATGAATGTAATATTACGGGGGGGGGGGAGAAATACCCACAACATGGTCAGAAGCTAATATTGTGTTACTTCCAAAGGAGGGTCAGGATGCCACGATAGTAAAGAATTACAGACCTGTCTCATTATTAAATAGGGATTATAAACTATTTGCTGCAATTTTGGCAGAAAGACTTTAAAAAGTTTTATAGGTAATATATTCACGATGAATATATTACTGCCAAAAAGGCAGCTAAGGAACAATGTGAGAATGGTTTTGAATATTATTGAATATTTACAACACCACAATGAACAACGGACAGCTCTAATATTCTTAGACACTGAGAAGGCTTTTGATAATTTAAATTGGATTTTTATGTTTAAAGTTCTACAACAAATGAACTTTGGGGGGAAATTTATTCAATGGGCTAAAGCTATCTATACATTACAGCAAGCAAAAATTATTATTTTTTATAACAAATTTTATTAGTTTTCCAATTTAACATCCAAGTATTTGGAAAGCAACGTGGTGACTGGGTAATCAATAGTTCAATAACAGCATTTTTAGTACATATCTCAGGTTACATTGTCAAAGATTAATTCTCTATTTCCCATTAACATTGATATAACATAGTTAAACTAGTAAATTTCTAACCATAGCAGGCTCAATTAAAGGATTTGTCAATCTATTTTTTTCTTATACATATCCATACCCTGTTTTTAAGTTTTACCTAATTCTTAATTTCTAATTACAGTTTTCCAATTTTAACCTTTAACATCCATAATATTCAAATTTCTGGTAACCCAAATTTCCTTTATTTCACTACACAAAAGTTATGATATCTAAAATACATATATTACCTACTTAAATATATTCTTATTTTATTTCATAAACATTTTCTAATTCTCATCCTTTTATCATTTTCCAATAACATTTGAATCTAATAGTCATATTTTCCTTCATCTCCAGGTCTCCCTTTAGCCCATTAGTTGAGACTTTAGGATCTCTCTAGTAAGTCAGAAGGCCCCATTTTTAAAACCTAACTCTGGCTTTCTTTTTCTGCCAACCAGGTTTCCATACCAATGTCTTTAAGTTATCAAATAGGTCTCCTTTCATTCTGGTACA